GCTTGCTTGTTTGTTTTCGGATGGGAGTTCTGCCTGCTCGATCAGCTCTTTAGGTTTGCAAATTTTAACCAGCTGTAGTTTATTTTGGGATTCCTACCTTTCTCGGTGCCTGACCTAGTAGACAGCAGACACTGCTTCCAACTACATGCGGTATCTATAGGCCATTTTTCCTTGTGCCTCTCTGAGGGGCCAGATTCTGTTTCATGGTCCCCGGTAGGCTAAGAACACCATCGATTGACTGTTGCCATGGTCAAATAGACATATCAGCCCCGTATAGCCCCAGGGAGCCAAAGGGGCTCTCCACAGAAAGTTCCTTCTAGTATAGTTAAATTAAATTTTTGTACTATTTTCCCAGATCACGGGATAAATAATACCAACAAAATTCCGTAACTTACTTTGACCGTAGAAAAGCCCGGAAGTCTCGTGATGACATCACAACTCAAGAGCGTTCATCTAGCAGTGGTTCTGCTGAGCCAGCAGTGAGGCAGGAGTTGCCACCAAGATGCTGTTTACATATTTATTCCAATCTCTCTGATTGCTTTTCCCTCGTTTTTTGACAAATTTATACAATAAAATGTGTAGACCATCAGAATCCTCAAATATATTCATGTTACTAACATATGCACAACATAACACCACATGAGACCAGTAGGCATGGCAGGATGTGTATAATACCCCCGTTGAAAAGCAGAGGTGCAATAGGTACTCAGAGAACTATCAACATCGGAGGTCCAAGGCTGTTCAACACGCTTCCACTACACATAAGGGGCATAACTGTCCGGCCTCTCAGTGTTCAAGAAAGCACTCGACAAACACCTCCAAAGAATACCTGATCAACCAGGCTGTGATTCATACGTCAGACTGCGAGCAGCCTTGTTGACCCGACGACCAACTGGGCAGCCTGGTCGGACTGGGCACCTGGTCGCTGCGGGGGGCTGTTGAGACCGGGCAGCCTGGCCTCGGAGAGCTACACCTGGTCGGAGACCGGGCTGCGGGGCTGTTGATCCTCGGAAGCTACACAACATAGACACAAAAAATCAGCGTTGAATGTAATGAAACGCCATTTTCTGGGTGAGCCCCGGAGGCTCCCTGGAGCTTATCGGGCTAATGTATGTTATATTAGACCGGGACATTAGCTATGGAGTTCAGACCCACTAAGGACCAGTGCCAGAACCTGGCCCCTTCAGAGAGGTTTCAGGGAGCAATGGCCCTGGAAAACCCCCTTGTGGTTGGGGTTTTCCTTATCTGCCATCGACCGGGGTTCGGCACCCAGAAAGGTAGGCATAACAAAACAAACCCCACATGGTAAGATACAAACAAAAAAACAAACAGAGGTAGAAACTCCATACAATCCCAAGGAAACAAGCAAACAAGCAAACATCACACTTTACTGCCTCGCCGATCGTCCGCGCAGCCCTCCCCGCCCTGAGAGTGGGAAGGGGGGGCCCCTGACCTCACCGCGAAAGGGTCGGCGCCCCTTACGAGACCCAGAACCTGGCACAGAGCGAACACCGTGCCGACCAGACGAGGGAGGGTCCGAAGTAGGAGCCGAACCCGAACCTGACACCAGTGGCCTACCACGACGAGAGGAACCCCGAGCCCTGGCATGACCCTTCCGGGAAGATCCACCCCGGGACCCCCGGAAAACCAACAAGTCTGCCATCGGACGACAAGCCGACAACGTAGCCTGAATAAACTTCGCCACGGCCTACTCCTCAAACAGAAGATGACAAAAAGGCGAAGACCGCCTAAGACCCAGAGCCCAAGCAGATTCCACAGAGGAACCCAGCACCGCCTGCCGACATGCGAGACGGGAAGCATAAAACAGGGAAACCGCATCCTGCAAAATCGGCGTGAAAAGCCTCAACAAGGCAGCCGACGAACGCGCCGCCGAGGACAAGGCGCCGGACCCCAGGACGGACCCAAGCGTCCTCACATCCTCCACGAGCCAATCCGAGGACAGCTCCAGGAGGGAAAAGAACCGCAAGGCCGAAACCAAAAGGCCCCGGGCGCGCAAGTCCTCCACAAAGAGTGCCACCGAAAGGGTGGGAACCTGCACATGGAGCTGAATAACACCCACATCGCGGGGAAGGGCAGGGGCAAACAAGCACTCATTCAGGTACTCAAGCTCGCCCCCAGGAAAACCTGAAGCACCGTGGAAGCTTCCCGCCACTCCAGCGTGCGGGAACGACAGAAGGAATGCCAGAAATCCAGAGCAAACAAGGGGCAGTCCGCTAGCCAGGAAGACTCCGGAACCTCGTAACGGAGCCAGAAAGGGAACAAAGTCCCGAACCTGAACTCGGACGGATCCATTTCAGAGGCATAATCTGGGTCACGCAGAAGGTAACCTGCAAAAGTCGCCCACACCACACCAGGTTGGATGTGATAAGCTGAAAACCTCCGGAAGGACGGAACCAACGTACCTGGGGAACACGGAACCGAACCCGGGGAGGGGTCGACACCAAATCCAACTCATACGCAGAGGGGGGAAAAGAAAACCCCACTCCTTGTAACACTAAGCCCCGCTCAGAGGGAAGAAAAACCCAGGCGGGGTCCAGCGGGGCCCAAGGCCCCAAAGTCAGCCCCTCCCCAGCCTCGACCCTGGAAACACAAACCGAAACTGTCTCTATTTTCCGCTTGTTACAACTTGTAATAAAGTTGTTACATCTTGGCTTAACGTGTTTATGACGTATTAGAACGTTGTTACAACTTGCTATATTGGTTGTTATAACTGGTTAGGAGGTGTTAAAACTTGTTCGAACGTTGTACCAACGTAGTAGTTTTGGTGTGTGTTTGGCGGGGAGGTCCTTCACCACAGGACCCAGGGCCGAGTCCTTCCCCAAGCCCCGACCCCACAAGACAAGAACGGAGCAGCCGTAGAAGCTGGAAGAAAGGTGTCCCACTGGTCAGACCCAGAAGCTTCAGCCGGGAGACAAGACTCAAATGCCTCTGCCGCCCCCCCCCCCCCCCCCCCGGAAGGGGCACCCCCCGAAGCTGCCCGAGTCTCGAGATCAAGTAACCCCGCGCCCCTACCAGTGCAAACAACCTCTTACCTGCAGGGAACAAGGGAGAACAGAACACCCAAGAGCCCAACAGGCGGCCGAAAAGGTAAAGCGAACCAGCAAAGGCAGACCCCGAGGAGCCTGTGGAAGGTGGCCCCAAGCCCCAAGGGCAGTACTTACAGGGCACCTAGGGAAGGCAGCCCTAGGCACATGCAGCCCGAGTACTGAAGATAACTCCTGGCTCTCGCACCCACAAAAACAAACACCACACGCAAAGCACAGTGCAGTAGCGACACCGGAGCCAGAGCACACGACCTTCGACTATAGCATCAGCCTCAAGAACTGAGGTGTGGGTAGCCGGCGTGGGGGGGTCTGGGGCTCCCCCTTCCCCCTCCCGGGGAGGGGGGAGCTGCGTAGACAGCGGCGTGGCGACGTGTGACGTCACACTAGTTTGCTTGTTTTCAGTTCGGGAGTTCTATCCATTAGTTCGGTTTTTGGTAGCAATTTTCACCAGAATAGGGGTTTGTTTTGGGGCGCTTACCTTTCTGGGTGCCTGTCCCGGTCGATGGCAGACATAGAATGCTTCCAACCACACAGGGGTTTCTATAGGCCATTGCTCCCCTTGCCTCTCTGAGGGGGCCCAATTCTGGCCGTGGTCTCCTGTAGGCCTAAGAACTCCATACACATGACTTATGCCAAAGTCTGACATTAGCATATCAACCTGGGAAAGCTCCGGGGAGCCGACGGGGCTCCCCCCCAGAAAATGTTATTTGCTTTGAACAATAAAACATTCTGTTTTTGCTGTTATTACACTTGAGGTTATCTTGAGATGATTTCGGGGCTTAGCGTCACCGCGGCCCGGTCCTCGACCAGGCCTTCTTTTTGTTACACACTCCCACGAAGCAGCCCATAACAGCTGTCTAACTCCCAGGTACCTATTTACTGCTAGGTGGCCAGGTACATCAGGGTGAAAGAAACTCTACCCATTTGTTTCCGCCTCCACCGGGGATCAAACCCGGAACCTCAGGACTACGAATCTGAAGTGCTGTCCACTCAGCTGTCAGGCCCCCAGGGAGACCTGTATATACACTGTTTACACACTTTATATACCTATATAAATTCCACAGAGAAATCACACTAAGGTGATGTAGCAATGAGAAAATCCATAGGAGCCATAATGAGGAATCAAACCTATGCTCTGTGTATTCCAAAGTAGATGCCTTGGACCACTAGGCCACAACATGGTCAAATGGATTGCAACCTGGGATTCTACCGAGTGCACAAGGGTTCCCAAGGATTCCACTGAAGCCAAACCAGGGTTACACACACACTACCTCTGCACACTGGCTCTGTCGTCCAAGAATTCTACCTCTTGACGCTTCGTCTTTTGATACACTACCGGAGGCGCCCTGAAGCTATCACATCGATTTAATGCCCTACTACTAGTAGTCATCAGTCGCTGAGTTCTACTGGCCTACTGTACACTACGAGCCAGAACCAGACCCCCCTCTACAGAGAGGCTAAGGAGCGATGGTGTATGAACACTTTACATTTACAGTTTATCATCTTTGCCACCCACATGGAAGCACTCAGAAAAATGAGCAAATAAAAACTACTGCATGATTTAAAACAAGACTGAAGCCTCAACATTGCCAAAGGAACTCCCAAACAATGAAAACAAAACGACAATTTCATGAAACTAGCCACCACCCAGCTAGTAGGGGGAGCCCCTCCCCCCACCCCTCATTTGTGGGTGGAGGGAGTTGGGCCCAGGTCAGCTCAGCCCCCCCCCCCACCATTCAGTTTTATACTGATGTCTGTGCATGTTTGGGTTGTTTAAACACTCCAGAGTACTACCGCAGGGTTTAACATTTTTAAGCATGGTTTCCTGTCCCATACAATGAGAAGTTACAACACTATCTCTAAATAAATTTTACTCTCAACTTTATGTTCTCTACATGTAAATATATATGTATAATAATTTAACAATATACATACCTACAGCTACAGCCAAGTCCACTGTAAGAATTTCAAACGCTCGAAAAACCGCTAGCGTTACATCTTGTCGTTTTGCAACAGTCCTGCGGACATCCTCCAATACTGTCCATATTTGTTGCTCACCAATTGTGTTCAATAAATGTGCTGCGGGTGTAATCGTTACAGTACGTACCATGTCCTGTGAGAAATTAACCAATGTTTGTAAATGGAATAAAAATAAGGAAATAGAATAGAGACAAGAGGCAGTCAGAAAGTAATAAAACATGTACAGAAGACACACAAAGGTGATATGATCGCATACATAATTGTAGCAGGAAGCAACAAAGTTGTTCAGGAGCAAATTTGAAATCCACAACTTGGAGAACAGGTGGTCACAGTGAGGATGGTGCTCTGCCATCTGAAACACCTTGACCAGTATCTTTACCTTGACCAGTACCTTTACCTTGACCAGTACCTTTACCTTGACCAGTACCTTTACCTTGACCAGTACCTTTACCTTGACCAGTACCTTTACCTTGACCAGTACCTTTACCTTGACCAGTACCTTTACCTTGACCAGTACCTTTACCTTGACCAGTACCTTTACCTTGACCAGTACCTTTACCTTGACCAGTACATGTCGTGTATGATGATGTGTACTGGTCAGCGGAGCTTCTGCCTCATGCCTGTGGGGTTGGTACTTCAAGTCTCCTATTGCTCAAGTGAACCAAATGATTATTTTCCACGATAGTGTGGTTGACTATTTCAATGTCTCTGATTTATTTTTCTTTGTTTTATCAAGTAATATTATTCAATAGTATGCGAAAATAAGTACAGTATTAGCCATGATGAGGATTCGAACCTCCACACTGGATACTCTGAGGCATGCACACCCTAAACAACTCAACCATGACATGCTAAAAAAAAAAATGTAAACTGGGATGATAAAATGATAAAATAATTTTCTCATTGATACATCACGATAATGTGATTTCTTTGTGCATTTGAAGAGAAGTGTTGAAGGGAGATTATTCCTATTCTACTCCTAGAATTAAGGACCATGTTAGCCTATTGGACCAAGTTATCACAAGTCAAGCCTGGCCTCAGGCAGGGCTTGGGGAATAGAAGAACTCCCAGAACCCTCTCCAGGTGTGCTTCAGGTAAGGTCGTCTGGTGAGGGAGGAATGAAATCCAAGCACAGCATAGCACAACCCACTACCAGCAGAACGACATCACCTGACTGAGCAAAATGCTTCCAACACACATGGCTGTCACTAAATCCTAAATATCAATACTGTCATTATTTCACAAGTTTATTTATAAAAGAACATGAGGTCCTATATCATAATGCGTAGATGCACGTAACCCCGGCTGTGTGGTGCGAATATCTGCCTCCCGCGGTGATCATAACCAGCAATGTATTCACTGTTTATATATTTATGTATTTATTCATATATACAAAAGTTCTTATATTCTTGTACAGCCACTAGCATTCATAACACTTTGGGTAGGTCCTTGATCCTAACATTCCCCGGAATACGACCCGCCAAATCGTTTAACAACCATTGACTACTGGGTGAACAGAGGCTACAGTTAAGGTCTGGTCACTCCCTGGCCAGGATATGAACCCAGGCCACAGCATTCACGAAGTGCTGGGCTAATGTCTTACCACCGCATCACAGGGACTAAGCCACTCATATCTGAACCTTGTACATTGTCTATCAGTCAGACTCTTCTATGACACTATCCAAGCAAAATAGTTGCAGTTTTTATTTCGTTCATGATATGGTGGTGGTGCTGTGAACTGCTGCAGAATGCGCTACCTGTCGTCACCCTCTCAACAATGAAGCCCTCATTTCCAGGAGAGATGCCCACGATTTTTTTTTCCCCCCAAGATGGCACACGTTTACTGGAGGCCAGAGGAAGCTAACATTAGCCCCGTGTACATATGAGACTTTTAAATCTTACACAAATGGTGAAATTTGTAAGTAGTAAAATAATGTAAATAATAAAAGGCGAGTGAAAATAGCTGAGTTGGAAAAGTTTGTTTTTGTTCTAGAACAAAATCAAAGATGGCTGCCACCGCCACCACCACTGGGAATGTAGACACACCAACAGATGATTGTTTCAAAGGATTCTCACCACAAGATATAAGGAAAGGAGGTGTTCTTGGCAGGTTAGAGATAATTGAGGATATGCAAAAGAAGTATGAAGAAAAAGTGCTTAAATTGGAAGAGGACAATGGAGCTCTTAGGAGTGAGCTTTGCACTCTAAAAGGGAGTATGCTTCAACAAGGTAAGATTATTACTGCATTAACAGACAAGGTAACAAATCAGGAGGAGCAAATCAAGGAACTAGTGAAAGAAAATGAGGCGTGGAAAGTGAAGTGTGGTGACTTTGAAGAAATAAACAAGAAAATAGACTCATATGGTGAACAACTCCAAGTGAGCCTAAGAGCTAACATAGAGTTAAGTAAGGATCTCCAACTGGAAACTTCACTGACAACTCACATAGAGGAAGTGAATAAAGAACTAGAAAAGTATAAAGAAGAAATAAAAGAGACATATGCTGAAGTTGTAAAAGAGAAAGAGACTATCAAAGAAGTGTGTTCCGAAGTCAAAACCAGAAATGACAAACAAGAAGCGGATCTTAGGCAAGCAATTAGGAAAGAACTGGTTACCAACAGTAAACTGGTACAAAACACTGCAGATAGAACTAAGTCCATAATCATTTTTGGATGTGTAGAGAAGGAAATTCCATCTAGGGTGGACCGAGCGGCAGAAGAGATGAAAATCATAGAAAAAATAGTCGGAATAGGAGAAGGCCTAAATTCAAAGGAGCATGTCAGTGATTTTACGAGGATAGGAAAATATGAGAAAGACAAGAACCTCCCCTTAAGGGTGACGTTTAATGGAGTGAAGTAAATGACAGAAGTGCTTCGGAATACCAGAAAATTACAATATGAAGAGGATGGCAAACTTTGGTCAATAAGACAAGACCTCTCAAAAGAGGACAGAGAAAAGCTGAAAGTGAACCTCATTGAAGCGAAACGTCTGAAAGGGGAATAGAAATGAAGAAGAGAGGAATTCTTTTTTCTACAAAGTGTCAGGGACTGGAAAGCTTGTGAAATGGTACATAAAGACAAAGCAACAAAATCATTAAAGGAAGGGGGTGTAAAGAACAAAGGGAAGGGGGCCATATTCCTGAAAATAGTATATACCAACATAGATGGAGTGAGATAAAAAATATTGGAGTTGAAGGATATAATTCAGCTCATAGTCCCAGATATTGTTGCATTCCCCCCAAGATGAAACTTGAAGAAAATATTTTAAATGAGGTCGTATTCCCAAGGGACTACTCAGTTTGGAGACGTGACAGGAAAACTAGGAAGGGAGAAGGAGTGGCTGAGCTGGTGAAAGAACACCTGAAGGTAAGAGAATTAATGCTTGAAAACCCTCGAGATATTGACATAATGGCATTGCAGCACCTGAATCAAGATAAGCTGATAATTTTAAATGCCTACAGCCCAATAGCAAGCAACACATGGACAAAGGAAGAACTGGATGACAAACGAGAGGGTCTCATAACGGTCATGAGAGAGATCATGGTAAGAGCTGACAAAGATAATTCCCGATTGTTGGTACTGAGAGACTTTAACTTTAAGGCAATAGACTGGGAGGCCAACGAGGCAAGAACAGAGGATATTTGGACAGGCAGATTTGTAAACCTCATCTTGGAGACATTCATGTATCAACACGTCAAGCAGGCCACAAGAATGAGGGAAGGGGATGTTTCGTCAGTACTGGAACTAGTATTCACCAGGAAAGAAGAAAAGGTAATTGACATCCAGTACCTTCCTCCCTTGGGAATGTGTGATCACGTCCTCTTGGACATTAAATACGTTATGCGATATAACCTAGCAGAGAATGGGGACAGTGAAACAGTTGTTAAACTCTATTTCAAGAGAAGACGCTATGGGGAACTTAGAAATTTTTTTGAGTATAATTGGACAGACTAGTTGCTAGGCAAGGAAGTAAATGAGATGTATGCCAAATCTGACACAATATATGATGAAGGCACAAGCATTCATACCAAAACAGACATGCAGACCTAGGAAACAGGGTTGGTTCAACAGAAATTGCGAGGGGGCCAGAGATCAAAAGATACAAGCATGGAATCATTACAGGAAGAGGCCAAACCCCCAAACATACCAATGATACAAAGATGCAAGAAACAACTACACGTCAGTAAGGAGAGAGGCAGAGAGGAACTTTGAGAACGGTATAGCAGACAAATCTAAACCAGATCCAGGCCTTTTCTATAAATTCATTAAAAGTAAGCTGCAGGTAAAGGATAATATTCAGAGGTTGAAAATGGGGGACAGATACACAGAAAATGAAAAGGAAATGTGTGAAACATTAAACGAACAGTTCCAAAGTGTGTTTGTACAAAATGAGAGCTTCAGAGAACCAGACAAAACAAGAATTCCAGAGAACAACATAGAGTATATAGAGATGTCTAGAGATGAAGTGGAAAATATGTTAAAGGAGCTAAGTAAGAACAAAGCAGTTGGTCCAGATGGAGTTTCACCATGGGTTCTGAGTGAATGTGCATCTGAGCTCAGCATTCCACTTCACCAGATCTTTTAGGCATCCCTGTATACAGGAATCGTAGCAGACGTGTGGAAAAAGACTAACATAGTTCCAATCTACAAAAGTGGAAGCAGGGAAGACCCCCTCAATTATAGACCTGTATCATTGACAAGTGTAATAGTGAAAATATTGGAAAAAATTATAAAAACTAAATGGGTAGAACATCTGGAGAGAAATGATGTAATATCAGACAGACAGTATGGTTTTCGATCTGGAAGATCCTGTGTATCGAATTTACTAAGTTTCTATGATCGGGCCACAGAGAGTTTACAGTTAAGAGATGGTTGGGTTGACTGCATCTATTTGGACCTAAAAAAGGCTTTCAACAGAGTTCCACATAAGAGGTTGTTCTGGAAACTGGAAAATATCGGAGGGGTGACAGATAAGCTTCTAACATGGATGAAAGATTTTCCGACGGATAGAAAAAATGAGGGCAGTAATGCAGTAATCAGAGGCAATGTATCGAACTGGAGAAATGTCACAAATGGAGTACCACAGGGTTCAGTTCTTGCACCAGTGATGTTCATTGTCTATATAAATGATCTACCAGTTGGTATACAGAATTATATGAACATGTTTGCTGATGATGCTAAGATAATAGGAAGGATAAGAAACTTAGATGATTGTCATGCCCTTCAAGATGACCTGGACAAAATAAGTATATGGAGCACCACCTGGCAAATGGAATTTAATGTGAATAAATGCCATGTTATAGAATGTGGAATAGGAGAACATAGACCCCACACAACCTATAAATTATGTGAGAAATCTTAAAAGAATTCTGATAAAGAAAGAGATCTAGGGGTGGTTCTAGATAGAAAACTATCACCTGAGGACCACATAAAGAATATTGTGCGAGGAGCCTATGCCACACTTTCTAACTTCAGAATTGCTTTTAAATACATGGATGGCGATATACTAAAGAAATTGTTCACGACTTTTATTAGGCCAAAGCTAGAATATGCAGCGATTGTGTTGTGCCCATATCTTAAGCAGCACATCAACAAACTGGAAAAGGTGCAAAGACATGCTACTAAATGGCTTCCAGAACTGAAGGGCAAGAGCTACGAGGAGAGGTTAGAGGCATTAAATATGCCAAAACTAGAAGACAGAAGAAAAAAGGTGATATGATCACTACGTACAAAATATTAACAAGAATTGATAAAATCGATCGGGAAGATTTCCTGAGACCTGGAGCTTCAAGAACAAGAGGTCATAGATTTAAACTAGCTAAACACAGATGCCGAAGAAATATAAGAAAATTCACTTTTGCAAACAGAGTGGTAGACGGTTGGAACAAGTTAGGTGAGAAGGTGGTGGAGGCCAAGACCGTCAGTAGTTTCAAGGCGTTATATGACAAAGAATATTGGGAAGACAGGACACCACGAGCGTAGCTCTCATCCTGTAACTACACTTAGGTAATTACAATACTCTAAATCATCTCTATTTGACTTACATATTAGGGTCAGATATGGTGCATGTGACCCATGTCTGACACTCACAGTACAAGGGTTAACAGTACAGTAAAACTAACCTGTCTCACGATGCTCTAAAAAATGTACACAATTTCTTCTTCACAAACAAAGCAGTAGTCCAATGTAATAAATTTGAATTGCAGTCCCCTTGGTGCAGTGGTAAAACACTCGCCCGGTGCTTTGTGAGCGCTTTGACCCGAGTTCATATCCTGGCCACGGAGGATTGACTGGGCACCAATCCTTAACTGTAGCCTCTGTTCACCCAGCAGTGAATGGGTACCTGGTTGTTAATTAAACAATTTTGCAGGTCGTATTCCGGGGAAAATTAGGATTAAGGACCTGCCCAAAATGCTATGCGTGCTAGTGGCTTTACAAGACTGTAAGAACTCTTTAATATATATGGTAAATAAAAATATACAACAAATAATGAGAGATTAGCTTATGCACATGTTATTATGGTGTAAAAGTTATCTAAGAGCCAGTAATCAGCTGACCTTGAGAGAAGTTAGGACTTGGGACGGTGCTGGTACCGTCTCGTCGTGCTCCACGGCAGGTGCTGGCAAGCACTCGTTGCAACTAACAGCCTTCTTGGGTATAATTCTTATTTGGCTTGGCTGATTTGTTGAAGCTGTTTGGAAGAGAAAAAGAAAACTACCTTAGCACATGGTTTGAGGTGTCCAGAAAATTTAAATCCAAATAATTGAAACATCACACCATGCAATATTTGTTTTTAATCAGGAATAAAACAACTCAATTTTAGTATGTATTTTAACACTTTCGCTGCTCGATCCTGCATATTCCATCACAAAAGCCAAATTATGAGAATGCGTGATGACGCAGTGTCGTTAATTAAATTTTTTTTTAAATTCCATTTATTGTCCAAATACTATGGGACTTATAAAATGAGTGCCAACATGTTCCCATTCTCTGTATACCCCACATGGCATTCTGATCCCACCATGGGCACCCACCCATGCTGGAGGCTCACTGTTCTCATGGCCCTGCTCATGGCCTTGCTCATGGCCTTGCTCATGGCCTTGCTCATGGCCTTGCTCATGGCCCTGCTCATGGCCCTGCTCATGGCCTTACTCGTGACAGCCACGGCCTAACCTTGAGTCAAAAAGTTTCCTCATTCTGGTTATTTTATCTTAGGTATTTGTTGTTACTAGCTTTATAAACACTGCAAATTGACTTCCAGATGGATACTGATCAAGAACAGAGCCAATCCATGACAAAAGCATTGAAAGAAACAGGTATGAGGGAAAAATTATTGAGTTTTTGTCGAAAGTATAGAAAGGCGAGACTTAAACTAGTACAGTACTCTATGTTCTTATATGCAAATATCCCTTTACAGCATTCTAAATGCACATACCCCAGTATATTTATTTAGAACAATGAAATGCAGTATGGTGCTAACTAGTTCCATGGTTTGAGCTAGAGAGAGATTTCTCCGTTTATCATGGCAGATTTCAGTAAACCGTACACGAGCCAGTAAATTGAAGTTAGTAACCAAATTTATACCATTTTGGTATACATCTATCGTCATGTATAAACTCATGAATGATATCATGAGGAAAGATATCCTCATGAAGCCCAAGAAGTCGTATATTGTGCAGTAATATCAATAAGGGGCAACAGCTTCAAATTCAACAAGCCTCTGTATAGGACAGAAAATAGATGCCTTTTCACCCACAGGGTTGTAAACCCATGGAGCTGCCCACCCGCCAAAACAGTAAATTTCAACACATTACTATACTTCAATTAAAAATCCAGGTAGAAGAAATGCTTAGAAATAATGGGGGAGGGGGACCTTTAGCAAGCTGCCAGCTTCCTGTCCCCATTGCAGCCACTATAGAATGGCTCTCAGGTAATTAAGGTAAATACCAATACAGTATATCTGATTTTTTTTGGATTTGGCTTAGGTGGTGTGTTGTGAATGTGTCCAGATGGACAGATACAGCAACAGCTTACCTGGATGTGTCCAGATGGACAGACACAGCAACAGCTTACCTGGATGTGTCCAGATGGACAGACACAGCAACAGCTTACCTGGATGTGTCCAGATGGACAGACACAGCAACAGCTTATCTGGATGTGTCCAGATGGACAGACACAGCAACAGCTTACCTGGATGTGTCCAGATGGACAGACACAGCAACAGCTTACCTGGATGTGTCCAGATGGACAGACACAGCAACAGCTTATCTGGATGTGTCCAGATGGACAGACACAGCAACAGCTTACCTGGATGTGTCCAGATGGACAGACACAGCAACAGCTTACCTGGATGTGTCCAGATGGACAGACACAGCAACAGCTTATCTGGATGTGTCCAGATGGACAGACACAGCAACAGCTCACATAAATGAGCTTCAATACACAGTCCCAACATTTTTTGGTTCAACCAATCAGAATTTACTGGATGCTAAATCAGTTTGGCTCATTCATTAACTCTTAAACTGCGCAAGACGTCATACGACGTGTTAAGTAACATACCCAAAAGTGCGCATCACGTCATATGACGTGTTGGAGTACAATGCAAGATTTAAAAGGCCAACGGATACACAGGGTTCACCTCACCCTCATCGGGACTCTTGTAAACAGATGTCATTTAAAAAAAAATCGTGGGCAACACTCCCAGGTGTGGGACTGGGCCCTCAGTACTGAGTGAGCCACTAAGGCTGGCGCACACAGCATGAGCTCACAGCACTGCTATTCAGCTTGTGACCATAGCATCGCCTAAAAATGTAAAAAAATATATGTACATGCTATTATTTAACGATGATAGTAATACAGAAGACCCCGGACTGTGATCAAAATGACCAGGATTCTGATAATAGCAGGATTGTTGTGATAATTAGCACTGTAGTGGGAGGAGTAATCTTAGTGGGGGAGGGAGGTAGAGTTGTCTGCTGACTCACTCTGCCCACCTTTTACTGTTTGGACTCACTATACCAACTTTGTGGTTCACTATAGTGAACAAAACATGCAGATACTTATACATAATGTCTGTATATAGTGAATAAAAACCAGAACAGTATGGTGGGGGGAGAATGTTGGCGAGTCAGGTGAGGTGAGGGAGGGTGTGGCGGCCAGGGGCCAGCTGCCTGGTGTGCAGGTCATTCCTTGCTGCCTTTTGACTCGGCATACCAACTTAGTGGGGTTCGTTATGGTGAACACAAATGTAGATACAGTACTTATATATAACATGTATATATACTGTAATGACAGGAAAAGGAGTGTTGAGAGAAGCCATTTTGGTGAGGAAGGTGGCAACATCTAAATGACTTGTCATGCCGGGTAAGGGCGGCCACTATGCTCATTGGGCACTATACTGGCTTAGTTGAACAGTTATGGTGAACAAAACATGTAGATACTTATAGATAATGTGTGTATATAGGGTAATAACACCACAAACAGTATACTTGAAGGAGGAATGTTAGTGTGTCTGGCCTTGAACCAGGGAGGGAGGGAGGGAGGGAGCATTAGTTGTGTGTGGGTCACCTGTTAGTCACCATATGCAGTCACCATACAAGATTAGTGGTTCACTATGGTGAACACAAATGTAGATACTTATATATAACGTGTACATACAGTGTAATAACAAAAGGAGTGTTGGGAGAAGCCATTTTGGTGAGAGGGGTGGCATCATCTTCCCGACACCTTCATGCTGTGTAAGGGTGGCCATTATGCTCTTTGGGCACTATACCAGCTTAAATGAACAGTTATGGTGAACAGAACATGTAGATACTTATATATAACGTCTGTATGTAGTGAATAAAAGCAACAACAGTATGGTGGGAGGAGGATGTGGGGAAGCGAGGAGTCATTGAGGGAAGGAGTGGCAGCAAGAGGCTGACTGGCAGATGTGGTGGCCACACCTTGCTGCTTTGACTCGCAATACCAACTTAGTGGTTCGTTATGAGTAGATACTCATATGATATAATATATAGATACTTATATATAACCTGTGTATATAGTGCAATAGCCAACAGAGTATTTGTTTATTGTTTTATGAACATATTACAGTACAACCTCAATTTAACGTACCCTGATTCAACGAATCTCCGGCTAGTTCGCACACTTTTCAGGACGGATTTACTCACCCGGTTCGACGAACAATGGTTCGCCGAAGCAGGGGATGTTAGGATTTGCTTACGATGTCGAGACAGAGTTCACAGACTGGTGGAAAACTTTCCCATTCTATCACAGATTACAATTAATAATTCCTTCATAAGGCAAGTTGGATCACACAAGTGGACCACAAGTGGTCCATAAGCTTACGATGTTGGAACAGAGTTCATAGAGTGGTGGAAAACTGTCTCATTCTATCACAGATTACAATTAATAATTCCTTCATAAGACAAGTTGGATCACACAAGTGGACCACACAAGTGAACCATATGAACCAAACACCAGCCAGAATGGTCCACACAACAAGTGAACCATATGAACCAAACACCAGCCAGAATGGTCCACACAACAAGTAAAGCATATTAACTAAACACCAGCCAGAATGGTCCACACAACAAGTGAACCATATGAACCAAACACCAGCCAGAATGGTCCACACAACAAGTGAACCATATGAACCACACACCAGCCAGAATGGTCCACACAACAAGTAAAGCATATTAACTAAACACCAGCTAGAGTGGTCCACACAAGTGAACGACTGAGTTTCAATGATTTTCGTTCACTGATTTGTGGCACACATATCTTTGTAAATTAATTTAAAGGCTGAAGCGTGAATAGCTAACTAATGTGTTGAAATCTTCTTATACACATTTTCTGTGATGAAACAAGATGAGTGAGGGTGGATAGATATGGGAATACTCTACAGTAAACCTCACTTTACAGTGAGGTTTCACTCACTTTCGTCTGTGTCGTCATAGTTCAGTGACCCGTGACTTTGAACGTTTCAGATTAATAAATCATTTCTAAAACTGGTGTTTTAATAACTCTCTATTATCCTAATTAAACTAAACTAAATAAAACCAAAAATATACTGTAATATGATAGATACAGTGGAACCTCTATTAACGAGTTTTTCCAGTAACGAGCATGCCACTCGCAGCAAATTTGTCTCTATTGACGAGCTCGCCTCTATTAACGAGTGAAACCACATGGCGCTTCCTAGCGTCTCGCGGGTTCTCGCAAATTCTCGGACGCCTCCGACGCCAGTGTTGTTGTTGTATCTCACACGACAAGCATCCCTCTGGATTTATTTGAGCTTTTCTTTGGGTTTTTAGTGGTTTTGCGACTACAATTTGTAACACACGATGTCTCCAAAGAAGCTGCTTGCTAAAGATAGTGTTTTCAAGAGGAAAAAAGACACAATTATTATGGATTTCAAGAAGGAAATTATAGCAAAGCATGAGTGTGGTGTCTGTGTGATTGATCTCACAAGGAAGTATGGCAGGTCCTCATCAACAATTTACACCATTAGTAAGGGAATGAGGAGGTAAGGGAGGATGCTGCCTCTTCCACTGAGATCAGGGAAGTGTTTGGAATGTTTGAAAAGTTGAATGCATTCTTGGAAAAGCTGCCCTGATAAAGCAGTGACAACCCAGTGTGTGAAAATGTTTAATTAATTTATCACTTTGTGATAACACTTTATGAAAGTGT